AGGAACATTTCATTCATAAACGAGTTATGAATTCTAATTTTCGTAGCCTCGTTGCTTCCAATTAACAAAGCTGCTCCCAAGGTGGCGCATGGAGTTAGTATCAAGTCCTACACTGAACACACATGGGCTGAAGGATCTCTCGTAAGGCCAGTCGATGGCGAGTTGGTACATACAAACCAACGAAGTACATATACTATTCTTTATTCAATACTATCTTTTGAAATTATGGTGGATGCACTTATTTTTATCCCGTAATTTTTTTTCAGCTATTCAGTTCAAGATGGGGATATCCACGCTACCCGAATCCGTCTGTAGTCTTCCATGTTTACAAGGTCAAGCAAAGAAATATGTTGAGGGAGAAAGTTGCTGTTGGCACTGCTTCAACTGCACCCAATATCAGGTATACCCAAATTACCACATGAATATTTTCGAATAACTAGTGCAATATTTTTCTTCTTTTTTGTTTTCAAATATTGGAAAACACTAAAAAGAACAGATTAATTTTAACTATGTCAGTCCAATATAGGCTTTTATGATCAGGTATAGTAATCAAACTATTTTTGATATGTGGAACATTTCAGCGTCTATATACAGGGTGTTTCAAAATGTATTATCACCGTTTCAGGGACATATTATTCAGATCAAAATGAGATTTTTGTTTTCCTATAAACACCGCTTTGTTTCCGATCTACAAATTTCAAGATTTTTTCTTATTCCTTTTAGTTTTCGAGATATTCAGATCGAATTTGAAACATTGGTTAGGCTTCAGGGTTTATATCATATTTCGTATGTCGAGTGAGTAGAAATCTATAAGAAGATATTTTTTCATGGGTCAGGCCCTTTTTCGCTCCATTAACCATTTTGTGGAAAATTTCGAAATATGAAATGAGTGTTATGTTTCGTTGATTATCTAATCACTGAATCGAAAGTAGGCGTTTGCTTCCTCATTTAAGGAAACGAAGTTGGCAATTTACTCCCACGGGAAGAAATCAATATCAACTCCCGTGCATAGGCGGTAAAATGTAATGGCTTCAGCATACATCCTTTGTAACAGTTTTTATAGCTCACTAAGACTTAGTTACAAATAACTTTTTTTTTCTCTCACGGATGATATGTCGCAGTAATAGTTTTGTGTTGATAACAACGGAGCTATCGTCATTTATACAGAAACAAAAATTATTCGGAAGCCGCCATCTTGAATTCATAAATTTTAACAATAAAATCATGATCTCCGACCTCAAAAACCCCCATTCACCAATTTTGAATGGAATCGGACCAAATCTTGTCCGCCATCTTGGAGCAGCCATTTTTTTCGAAATTCAGACTGGAAAATAGAAATATCTTGAAACTCTGAAGCTATGTATATCAGTGTTTTTATAGAAAAAAATCTATTTTCGACCTGGAAAATAAGTTCCTGAGGTCTTGATACTGAATTTTTCAACACCCTGTAGATCTGTTCCAGTATATCGAGCTTTTTCAATTCTCATTTGTCAATCCATCTATAGATTTCCCCATTTATTAATGTTCAATAGATCAATAGAAAGATGAGTAATGTATAAGTACCTATAGTTGATTATGGTTATGGAATATGGATGCAAAATGTCATTGAATCGGAAACCTGATGATAACGAGACCACCGAACATATAAACAGAGACTGTTCGGTGACGAGACTAAGAAAGGAATACGGAAGCGATGTTAGTTCATCATTTATATTCTATATTCATATTATATCATGAAAGTTCTCATCTATTCTTGCTCAATCTTTTCGGAATCCATAATGTATTCATACGCCTAAATCTATTCATAGAAGATCTTTCCTGAATATAAATTCATCCGATAAACAATATTTCTCGGAAGCGTTAGAAGCTGATAGATTTCTCAGGAAGATTTTATTTTTTGGGATGGAGTTCCTCTGTTATAACTTGTGTAATTTTTGTATTAGACTCACTGTAGGCACTCGCAGTTATTCCATGGAATCGTATAGGTTAGGCTTTTAGGAGCACATCACTGGCAATGCCAGAAATACACCCATTGTGATCATCTTCAATAATGGACACTGCTTGCCAGCAGCCGTAGAATTACCTATACATTCTTGGAAATTGAGAAAGCAAGATCATAGGTCAAAGACTTCTTTGTTTTTGAAATCAGGATAAAGAATTCATTTCCGATACAACATTCTGCTGGACAATTTTCGGTTCTGGAAAATTTTGCGTCACCGCTCATGAATCTTCTGTAATTAATGAAGTAATAATTTGATTTGCTTCCCAAGGTCATATTTCGTAATGAAAGTTACACAGCCACACATCAGAGTGTTCCAAAGTTGAAGTGACAGAAGCCTATAGGGATGATTTCGTTTCGAAGATTATGGATGTGTAGAGTTCAAGTGAAAAATTGAGTTTTTTATTGATAGAATAAAGGAATCTGCTTGCAAATCTGTTGCTTCATACCATATTGCAGTTTTTCTGCGATTTTCATAAATTATTCAGATGCAACTAATGGAAATGAAACATTTCCATCTGCTGAATTCAAAAACATCATCAAACTTTGGCACTGGCAATGTTTAGGGATTTCCTGAACAAATATGAAAAATGCACAGAGATTATCTATACATAATATATGACAGTGCAGTTATTTCTGAGAACAAAAAAGAAAAACATGAAACTGAATTCCCTCTCAGTGCTAATGAGTACTTAGTACGAGTATATGAATATCTAAAATGAACTCTTTTTGAATGTAATCAATGCTAAATTGAGACGAGACAATATTAAAGGCTTGTACCATTATTAAATATGATCATTATTATTGCCACCATATCAATGAAAGAATCTTCATCTGATACATGTCTATACTACAAGGAAAAAAGTTTTGTTGCACCAACAAAATTAATTTGGTAATTCGTTTTGTCGAATGTGTATTTGGATCTATGGTCAAATTAAACCAAATTATGCGAGATCACTATATATTTCGTTAATTGAACTATTATTTCATTGTTCAATCAATCATATTACGCATTCTGAACATTTGACAAAATTTTATTATTTTTCACAAAGATTTAACGAAGAACAACATCAAATTTTGTTGTTTCAACAATCATTCCATTGTTCATTCAATCATAATATGCTCTTGTGGATTCAACATCCAGCTAAATTTTCTCAAGATCATCTACGATTTTTGACCAATTTTATGCATTTTTTTATTTCGACAAAATACAAATGATTTCGGATTGAAATTTATCCATATTCTGAAGTCGAATCTACTAATGAATGATTTAGTTTTTTTTTTATGTGCTGGTTCTCACGAAAAGGGACGTCCTGTAATGGTCAGAGAACATCGTGAGAACCAAGGGGAATAAAGTAGGAATTGGTGTTTTTCTTAAATCTCGGGGGGTGATATGTTTCGGGAACACCTCCCTTGGCAATGTATTCCAGAGCCTCGCTGTTCGTTCGATGAACGAGTCGTTTGAAAGAGATGTTCTGCAGGTCTCCATCAAAGTGACCACGAAGGGGTGCGAAGCCTGAACTCAACAGGTTAATCTCGCGGGGACTGCCAAGGGAGGAACAATTGTTGATATTTCAGAAGAGCATCGTCCATGGAAATATCTATAAAATAGAGCCAGGTCGGCAACTTTTCTACGGTGTTCCCGAGAAGTGGGTGAGTTTGTGAGCGATGCATCACCCACGAGACGAATTGCCCTTTTTTGGACAGAATCCAACAGTTTCAGGGTATGTTTGGGTGCTGCACTACAAATATGGGAGCAGTATTCCAGGACAGATCGGATCTGTGCCTTATAGATCATAAGCAGCTGACTGGAAGTGAAATAGCTCCTGGCCCCGAACAGAAAACCAAGTTTTTGGGATGCACTTTTAGCAATTGGTCTCACGTGATTTTCCCAAGAAAGGTTATTGCTGATAGTAATACCGAGCATCGAAATGGATGTCTTCAAAGGTATGGTTACTCCTGACAAGCTTATGGTGGGCACAGTGAGAACGGCTTTTCTAGAGAAAAGGCATGCTTGTGTTTTGTTTGCATTGAAATCTACCAAATTATTGGATCCCTATTCGAGAATTGTTGCCAAGTCCATATTCATGTTGTCAACATTTCTTCCTCGTTCGTTTCTGATTCGCCTGGCTGGTATTGGAGCCCTGGAAGAGAAGGCGGTATGGAGGGTACTATCATCCGCGAAGCTGTGTACTGGACATGAAGTTGCTTCCAACAAATCGTTGATATGGAGTAGAAATAGTGTTGGTGCTAGAATTGAACACCAGCATTTGCGATGAGAGAGTCAGATGAAACTCCGTCGACCACTACATGGAGAGACCTGTTTGAGAGAAAATATATATGAGTGTATGTGTATGTATATGTGCGTATTATTATTTGATTGTGTTTCAATTATCATTATTATTAATTCTCAATTTCTTTTCCGCATTTAGTATTTCAATATTTTGATATTTTAATATGTTCATTATATGATTGTCTTTATTTACTAGACAATTTTTTTATATATTCTATTCATTCTACTGCTCTCAAACTTTAAATCAATATTTTATAAATTTAGTAACAGTATTATCCATTTTGAAATTGTAAAATATCATCGGTGATTCACGCGCAGGTTAGCCTTTGTGAATCTCCCCTGTGTTTATTTACCTGCACTCTATTCAATTGAAAGATTAACCCGTCGAGTTGAGGCTTGGCACCCTTTCGTGGTCACTTTGAAGACCTGCAGAACATCTCTTTCCAAAGACTCGTTTATCCAATCCAACGAACAGATAGGCTCGGAAACACATTGCCAAGGGAGGTGTTTCCCGAGGCATATAACCTCGAGAAATTTAGGAAGAACACCAATTCCTACCTTATTTCCCTTGGTTTTCACGATTGCCTCTGAACATTAAAGGATATCCCTTTTCGTGGGTACCAGAATATTAAAAAAAGTATATGTAGCGTTTTTATGGTGAATAAATATTATTATTATTATCATCGTTATAATTGATCATTTACCCAGATACGCCACCCGACCAACCCGACCCAGTGCGTGAAATGCCCCCAAGGCACGGTCCCTGACCCGCAGCACACCATCTGCCTGCACATCCCCGAGGAGTACCTGCAAGTGGACAGCGGTTGGGCCATCGGCGCCATGGCCTTGAGCTCTACGGGCATCCTCACCACCTTCGTAGTCCTCGCCATCTTCATGAAGTACAATGAGACGCCGGTGGTAAGGGCCTCCGGCAGGGAGCTGAGCTACGTGCTGCTCAGCGGGATCCTGATGTGCTACGGGGTCACGTTCGCCTTGGTGGTGAAGCCGAGCGATGTCGTTTGTGGGATCCAGAGGTGAGTTGATCGTGGCTACATTCAGAGGCAGGTCTGACAACCGTGGACGGTCACAAAAGGCAGTTAACGTGAAATCAGGTGAAAGCGTGAACACCATTGAGATAAGGTAAACTTATGTTATGAGATATCATTCATTTGATATTCTATCTGAAAGACGTGAAGTTCAAAAATAATGTATCTAGATATTTTGCGTACATCCAGACTCTGGTGGTAGGGACCTCTCGGAGGAAGCTGAGCTACGTGCTGCTCAGCGGGATCCTGATGTGCTACGGGGTGACGTTCACGCTGGTGTTGAAACTGAGTTATGTTTTGTGATGGATTTTGGGGAACGGAAAGAGTAGAGAGCAACGAAATAACCGGCTCTCAACCAGGACCATACTCTGGCGAGACAGACCCACGTGCTGGTCTATCATCAGGTTTAACTTATTCGAAAGCGATCCTCAATTATCGAAAAACATAGGAACGCGTATTTACTTTTTCTCTAGCAAGTGTTTCGCATCCATGCCACCACGGCCTCCATCGATCTCTAACGTAGTTTGGATGTCGTTCAGGGATCCAACCTAATTATCAATGCACTTCTCTCACCTACCCTGCAGTGGTGAATTCACCCTATAGGTGCAACAAATAAGGACAACCAACGTCGTTCAGGCATCTAACCTGATCCACAACATCATTTCACCTCTCTCACATCGCCTGCAGTGGTGAATTTACCCTGTTGGTACAATGAATCAAGGAAGTTTCGACTGGAACAATTACCTCATGATCTCTGGCATCCATTTCATTCTCAACAGCTTCGTGGTCCATCTTCATGAAGTACAACTACATAGACGCCGGTGGTTACAACCTCCAGTAGGAAGCTGAGCTACGTGTTATTGCTCAGCTGAATCCTGATGTGCTTCATTGTTCTGTACACAATATGTGTGTATTTTTAATCTGTTTTGTTCCGCAATGTTTTGCTTTTAAGTTTAAACTTGACATATATATTATACTACGATGGTAAGATCTGTTGTACCTTGACTTGCTTCAAACATGTAATTCATGTACAGTGGTTAAATAAAAGTATCTATCTATCTGCTACGGGGTCGCATTTGCCTTGGTGGTGAAGCGGAGTGATGTCGTTTGTGGGATCCAGAGGTGAGTAGATTGTGGCTACGTTCAGCGACAGATCTGACTTCCATGGTCGTACCAAAACAAGCAGAGGAGTTTTGAACGAGCATCGGTCCATGCACGGACAGCAGTCACTGTTACTTCATTTCAGGTTCTGTTGTCGTTCCATCAGTGGCGTTTTGAATGCGGTTGTAATATGCAGAACTCAAGTTTACTTGGAATTTCACTACACTCCTGAGCAATATCGACAGATACTTTATATTCATTCATTTTCGTTTCATCAAGTATAGGCATAGTTCTGATTTCTGAACCGAATAGAATCAAGCATGGTTGAACTTCTTTTAGTGATCAAAATGAGATCTCATTCGCGATGACATCCATTCAAATCGAATTGTATTTGCATTTCATATACAACTAACGCTGACTGACGGAAAATGAAGGAAATAATGGACTAAACCATAGTGAGTAGATTGGAACTGTAGACTGGACTATATGTAGCCCATGTAGCCAATATGATTTGGGCACCCAAATCTTCTTCATTGTAATAATATACATTGTGATAATATACATGTGTTGCACGATACTTTAGACACAACCAACTTTAGATTCGATATCCGTGGTCCCCATAGGACGTGAGGAATTTTTTCCCTGCATACTACTCAGCTTTTATTAATTTTTCAGGAGATCGCAAGGGAGTATCTTCTTGAATTTTAATGTCTCGATCAAGATGCTTTAATGTGAAATACAAGGAAGTAGAAAATGAATCACCGTTTTAACTAGAAGAAACATGGCAATTGCATAATTTAATTTCACTGGAATGCAAATCGTTGAGTCATTTTAACTTGAGAAGTAATAGAATCTCAACTCCAGACTCGAGTGCAAAAATTTTAAAACTATAGCGTTATTAACATCGAGTCTGAATCGCATCATCCTTCCTGGAACACTGGAAGGATATAACAAAAAAACTATTTATGCATTGACCTATTATGTACAATACAGACGAAGAAAATGAGGTGATTGTAGAAATGCAAATTTTTATTATTGCTTTATCGAATTCATTTTGCGTGGACGAAAGTCATAAAGACAGTTCATCGCAGTTCAGAAAGTTTTTCTTATTCCATAAATCATCCATCCATTCGAATATGGAGATAATGTCACTGATATCTTTATATCTGTGATCGCAAGACATTATACAATGGAAATGTTCTTGCATTTTTACACAACCAATTCGTGAGGAAATACTGTTCAGGTCGGCAGCTGATGAAAAAGAAATACTCTTTTATTGAAGATATTCATGCATGCCTTTCTTAGTCAAATACCTACAGATTTTTTTTCTTCAGAAATTCCATGAATTGAAAAATCATTTTTCCTCAAGAATTTTATCGAATAATATATAGTTATTTGTTTAACTAGGCAGCAAAGTAGTAGATTGACTGCCGAGGCTGAATTCATAGCCGAGCGTAGCGAGGCTAGGAATCCAGCTAAGGTTGAACATATAATTTTTTCTCCGATTGTTCATAATGATTGCAAATTATTACAATTCCCACAATCTCTTTATTTTTCCTGTAGTGTTCAATTGAAATGAAATTTGATAGAAATCGCAGTTGTCCATGATAATTATAGTTTGACAATTCATGAAAATTCTGACAGTTGTGCGAAAAAATATCGGTATATTTAAATTATCATATGATGGACAGTGATAGCGACCTGGAAGTACTTACACCTCCAGAAATAAAGGAGGTGGCAAAAAATATTGAGTTGAATTTGTTGCCGGAGAAGTCTCGAATGAAATATGAAAGAAATTATAAACGGTTTATGGATTATTAATTTTGCTGATACATATCAATCAGCAAAGTTACCACTTTGCTGCCTAGGCAGCAAAGTACCCACTTCGCTGCCTAGGCAGGAAAAGTAATACTTTATTGCTGATTGATATGTGTCAGCAAAATTAATATTTGCTGCCAATCGGAGAAAAAATAATATGTCGTTCTCTTCGTCGATTCATAATGGATGACAAATTATTTGTATTTCTTGCAGATATTTTAATAATCTGTCATCATCAGAGCGGCATTTTTGCATCGAAGTAATAATGAAACAAACAGCCATTTCACGGAATATACAGATTTTATGTTGTGCTATATGTCTACCTTGTATGGAATCAATATGAACTAATTTAACCGAATGAAATTGAATTTCGAGTTTATACAGGGTGAGTCATAACTATTAGGACATAGGCTGAAGGCGGATTGTTCGGACCAATATAGGGTCATAGGACCGAATATGAAGTGATGAATATTGCTGTGTAAAAGATACAGGGCGTTGAAGTTGAATATTTTGTTCTCGTTTTCTGCTGATAATTTCGCTTTATATTTCGAAATTGTTGTCAAAATTGGCACAGAGGCATAATTTTATACACGGAATATTATTTATGTCACTTTACAGTGTTACAGGGGGAATTTTGAAGCAAGTTTTCGATGATCTTCATTTAAAAATATAATATGAAAATCATTTCCACGCAATATTATTGGTAGTCTCGGAAGGTGATTTCAAATATCATTTCATTTATGAAGAGTTGCTATGGACTGTCAGATAATTGTTGCTGGTGAATTGATTACATTTCTTGTCAGTGAATGGATTTTGTCGCTAGTTTATTAGTCAACACTTTTTCGATTCTTTTTACACAGCAATGTTTTATTACGGCAAATTTGGTCCTATCGCCATATTTTCAATTTGGTATACTTGCTACCGACCAATTTTCGGAATCCGATCTCGAATGATTGAGAAGTTACAGCACTGGCCGTTTTTGAGCACTTCCCTGTATACTTCCAAACTAATCAACAATAACCTATTGAAGCTATAGTTTATCATCTGCTTCGACATTTCAAAACATGACCATATTTCCACCTCATTTGTCTGCCATTGGAATAATTAAGCAAATTCCTTCAGATAATTACGAATATCTGGGATTCTGTTTTTGTTACAGGTTTGGGGTTGGGTTTTGTTTCACGGTAGTATACGCCGCATTGTTAACGAAGACCAATAGAATTTCAAGAATTTTCAACGCCAGCAAACAATCTGCCAAACGACCAAATTTCATATCTCCCAGATCACAGCTCGTCATTTGTTTCGGACTAATGGGAGTTCAGGTAAAGTAGTTTCCTGAACATATGAATTTCAAGACTTGATGATTCTCACATTGATTCGACACAGAAACATGGCTCTCCAGAAATTTAATTCTTAGTCCCTTACTCAGCTATACTCGGACTGTGTTGCCATCTAGTAAAACTTCATAGGTAGGATGGAAGTGGCGCCATCTCAGCAAGGCTTGTATGATTAGAAAGTATATTCATTCACATACTTACGAATAACTCAACAACAAGTCAAAATGCGAATTCAAGAGGACCTTGATCACTTCTCAGAGTACTGCAAAAATAACTCCCTCTTCCTGAATCCCAACAAATGCCATCAGATAACTTTTAGTTAAAACTTTAATTTAATTATACATAACTATACCATGCATCAGGATCTTCATATCCACATCTGTAGTGATGTGAAGGTTTTGGGAATTATTTTTGATTCAAAAATGGCTTTTAAAAAACATATTTCTTACATTTCTTAGAAAGCGAACAGAATCCTAGGTTTCATTTTAAGAACAACTTATCCTGTCAAAGATTATAATACCTTGCGTACTCTTTTCATGTCATACGTGAATAGTCTGCTAGGCTTCGGCTCAACCATTTGTAATTCCTATTATATAATATACACGGAAAAAATAGAAAGTATTCAGAACAAATTCATTGCTTATATCAATGAAGAATATTTCAAAAACACGCCACAAAAACACTTCGTAATTTGAAAACTTAATTTGATTAGTCTTGCTTGATCCATTACAATGTTCCACAATATTCCACTCGCTATTATAACTTGTTCCATACCGAACACAAATTACTATCTTAACTCCCCTTTACATCGATGCTTGAGAAGTTATAACTCCATTTCAAATATAATAAAGTTCGATATTTTTTCCGCTTCCTTAACAATCTCTGTGAACAAACTCAAGAAACATTTTGTTCCAGATGGTTCCAGCATCCAATTGATGATATATTCAGAACTTTTCTTTTTCATATAAATTATTTAAAATCTTGCACTGTGTAATGGAATTGAATACCTAACAACATGATATACATTTAATATACCTATATGTGAATACTGTCTCTGGGTTTGTCCTGTTTGTATTCCTGTTTGTGAAAATAAAATGAATAAATAAATCAAATGAATGAATAAACCTAGGAAGCATCCAAAACTTTGATTCAAACTATTTTTAATTTTTTTTTCCTACAGAGATTCAATGATATCTCTTATTATGGATAACGTTTGTTGGGGACGTGATAGACAATCTCATTTCATTTGTTGCTGTGATGACGATACTTTCATCCTACCGATGGAGTTTTGCTATAGCTGTTTCAAATTCCAGATGTGTTTATTCATCACTGACCAAGTATGTACTTATGAGTGGTCCATGCAGGGATTTCAGGTTATCTGAACATGGATCAAAAAATTCTGAAACATAATATGCTGGGAGCAGAAGCTCTCCAAGACAATGAAATCGAATCATCTAGATCTAGATAATTTCAATAATTTTATGGGGAAACGTTGATTCTTCCTAGAATTGACTGTGGTATATAGTCGAATAATTGCAATTTGAAAAGCCAAAGTAAGTTATGGTTTCTAGTGAATTGTTTTACACAAGGGTGATTTGATCCCACCAATTTGAAGAGCTTTTTCTTCCATGAATTCCGAGTAAGTTTTTCATTTTTTTGTATAGCTCTGGGACACCCAGTATATACCACTGATAGCTCTGATGGACATTCCGCACATTATTTAAACCTCAATATCCTTTCAGGTATTGATAAATGGCATTTGGATGATCATTGCTCCCCCAAGGGCGATTTATCATTATCCAACGAGGGAGGATAATTTGTTGGTGTGTTCGTCATACATCGATGCTTCATACATGATAGCTTTCACGTACCCGATTTTTCTCATAGTTGTGTGCACCATCTATGCCATCTTGACCAGGAAAATTCCAGAAGCTTTCAATGAATCGAAACACATAGGTGAGTCATTTTCATTTGATTCAAGTTAATATTGCATACGTCGTTTTCTGTACTCCAGAATAAGATAAATATATCAATATATATTTTCATTTTCAGGAAGCTTCCAATGATTTTTTCATTACATTGATGAAAGAACTTTGTGTAGACATTGAGTGTAAGATGTTAATTTCCTCAAATCAATAGATGAATAATTATGGAACCTTGTACTAATAATCAACATGATCCAGTATATTATCGTTTGGGCGATTGAATACTTCAATGAATTTACTGCTTGCCACTTTAGATTAATTGGGACAATTTGAATGGATTGTCGATGAATATTGATTAGTTTGAAACCATTATGTATAACTATCATCAAACTGGAATTGGAATTGGATACAATATTCCAATAATGGAACAACGTGTCACATGGGTATATAACAGCAAATAACTACTCTCAACAATGACATTGCCAGATAATGAATATAATATCACAATTACAGAAGTTTGTATATATCCTCTATATCGAACAGTTTCAGGTACATTTTCATGCGATTAAACTGATATAATCCACATCAATTTCACTTGATTAGATGCATGACAAGTTGAATATGGTTTTCATACGACGCTATACCTATATAGGGAAGTATACTACGGCCTTGCCAAAAATGCTATCTCGGAAACTAAGCGAGATAGAGATATGGTTACTTTGAAGAAAATGAATCGAATTTTGAGCAACTTTGGTTTTTGTGTGTGGTCTGTTTGTCTGTCTGTCTGTACTCTGTGGTAATCATAAATCGATATACCTCCGAAACCCTTCAACATATCGACTTGAATAAATTTCGTCATCTTATCGTACTCAAAACAATATCATGTCATTGAAATATGAAGGAAATCGGAGAACTCTAAGGTGGTTTTTCCGGGTTTTTTCGATTTTTCACCGGAAGTTTCTTGTAACCACTCTACAAATCGCAAAAGTGGTCCGATCGATTTCATTTTTTGTGAAAAAAACTCTATCAGGGAGAGACGAAGCCTATTGAAATTGAGCAGGGTCGGAAAATTCCAAGTGGGTTTTTCAAGGAGATTTTCCGAAACACACGGTTCGCTTTGAAACGACTTATCTCCAGAACCAATAGACTAAATCCAAATTTGAAGGATGCACCATAATATGCCTCTTTGATGACGAAACAAATTATTATATCACCATTTTATCGTGCATTCATCGGAAAATGAAAAAACAAATGAAAATCAATACATCAAAATTTGAAATCCTTTCAATTCAATATACTATATCGAAAACAAATGGAAAAATCGAAAATTATCAGAAGTGCAAAGTTATTCACTAGAACATTTCCTACAAATTATTACCCATAATTTCTTCTGTGAACACAATAGTACAGGAAATAAAATAAAAAATATGAAAAAAAAATTTGAACGACCCATAGTGTAGTCGAGTGGGCTAAGTACGTAGTTTGTGGGAAAAATCTCCAGTTCTCTGAACTTTTATAGCGTCGTATACACATCTTCGGTGCCCAATATAAAAATATGCTCATGATATGGTGCCATGGCCTCTACTTCCATCTTACATGAGCAATGATAAAAAATCATCTGCTTTTATAGCGTCGTATAAATTATCTGACCTAATCTAATAATGTATTGTCACCGAAATTATAAACACCTGCCAAATTTCAAGCTAATCGGAGTTATGGAATTTTTGTTGAAATCAAAAAAAATGGCTGCTCCAAAATGGCGGACAAGATTCGGTCCGATTCCATTCAAAATTGGTGAGTAGGTGTTTTTGAGATCAAAGATCATGATTTTTTCGTTAAAATTTATAAATTCACGATGGCGGCTTCCAAATAATTTTTTGTTTTTGTATAAATTACGATAACTCTGTTGTTATCAGCACAAAACTATTACTGTCACATATCATCTGTAAGAGAAAAATAAGTTATTTGTAACTAAGTCATAGTGAGCTATGACCTACATTTGAAAAACTAAAGTTGGTGCTCATATCTCAAATTCTAGAAGAGTTGGTATAAATTTCATATTTTTCTCGAAATCACTTCGAAAAACTGTCATGAGAATGTGAAATTCCTTTTTGAATATTTTCATAAATAAAGAAGTTACGGAGGAGACATGAAAATGATCAAAATCTGTTTTTTGCGTATAAAACAAAAACGAATAGATTTTATCAAAATATTTTTTCACATTATAGTTGGCCTTGACAAACTCCACATTTGGTGTCATTTAACCAACCTCGTATCTCTCACCGTTAAAAAGATACCCATGGTGAGCATGGTAAATGGGACACACTGTATAGGTTATTGAGATAATGAATAATTTTCAGAATATCTTTCAGTAGATTATGAAATGTTACATTAGATCAGTAGATCGATATGCGAATCAGTAGATCGATATGCGAATCAGTAGATCGATATGCGAATCAGTAGATCGATATGCGAATCAGTAGATCGATATGCGAATCAGGAGATCTACTGAAAATTTGTTGGAACTGGCAACCATGCAGCAGACGAAAAGCGTTTGCGGACAAAATGTCAGTGTCAGTGGACGGAAAGTTCTTGCCTTCGGATATATTTGGTTTCTTGTTCGTAAATTAGAACGTAGAATGTGATTCTTTGTAGAGGTCGACGAAAAAGAAATTTATCAGGAATCGGGATACCAATATTGATAATCCAGAACACTTCAATTGTACTAACTAAGAATCAATCAATAAGGCTTAAATCAGAGATTGAGATTACATCAATGAATTTGAAGATTATAGTTTCCTCTTCCTGATTCGAACCCTTATCATTTACAGGTTTCACGATGTATACGACATGCGTCATTTGGCTGGCATTCGTTCCACTTTATTTCGGAACAGCGAATCACGTAGCCTTAAGGATAACAAGCCTTTCAGTTACAATAAGCCTTTCAGCCAGCGTGACGGTTGCCTGCTTATTTTCGCCGAAGGTGAGTTGATTTAGGTCCTTATCGTCTACTAAATAAACAAAGTTTCGTATTATCAATTAGGACTACGTGACCAATGCGAGTAGATCAATACGTTTTCATGATTGGAGAAGTGAAAGACAGCGAATTATATTTCCTCTACTGTAGCTACGGAATATACCGTCACTCATATATGATTTCAACCTGGCATTAACTCTGAAGGACTCTCAATGACAACAAGATACCATTAAATTGAGGAACTATGTATGGGAAGTATTCTCACCTCTCTTGATTATTTTCCTAGGTGCTCAAGCATCTCGTGCTGTGCGAGAATAATTCAGCTAATCCTAGAGAAATGTCTTCTGTATATCATAATCACCAATCTCCACCACCAGCTCTAGAACTTACCACTTCTTACTCTTTTTCAATTCTTGAATTAGTATCACACTAACAATTTTGTTTTTCTAGATATATTTTAATGAATCATATGATCAATACCTGACTATTGGAAAAAGAAAATTCATCAATAATCAATTCCCTCAATGTATATCCGGAGTAAACCCTAGTAAAACTATTTGTACCTACTTGAACTCACAAACGCAGTGTTCTAACCAAATATCTGATAGGGTACTCATACTGAAGTTGGCTGCCAAAGCTGGCTGAATTAAATCACTTCCTTGCACCGCGTTTTTTGATCAAGGCAACCTTCCTCTACAAATATCACCAATTATACCAACCTTGGGTTACATCTTCCTTCAAGGTTATCAAAAGTACAATTCCTGAATGCAGTGAAATTTTTGGACAAATTATCTGATTTTGGTGTAAGGTCCTTTCCATCAAGATTTCTGTAGCTTCGGACAAAGACCTCCGTTTGTTGATTGATGTACAACCACACCAGGTACCCTCTTATCTGCTCAGCTAGCTTTGCGAACACCTCCAACTCTCATATCGTAATCACCCTTCATGCGATCATTGGCGAATTTGAGAATAAAGCAAACTAATTCTTTATTACTGCGTTCATCTTCTTCCTTAGATTTGTGATGTATAATTTCCTTCGAAGTCACATGGAAGCCTCATTTTGGGGCAAATCATCTGATTCCGAATATTTAGAGGATGATATTATATATAGCACGTGTGTCGATAGAAATAAAATATATGATCGATTAAATTCAGATGGAGAAGTAGTTCGTTTAATTCGCTGTTTATTTACAGTTATATATAATACTCATTCGACCAGAAAGAAACATCAGACAGAGTCTGATGCCGATGAGGTACGGTGGGTTCAACAAGACCTCGACAAATACAAACATGATGGCTGCCATCATGGTAACAGCAGTCACTTGCGATCAACAGCAAAATGTCGAGAAGCATGTTACACCTGTTGACGAATTGGAAACTGGTGAGAATACTGATAAATAAAACCATTGATATCCAGGTTCAAACTTCAATTCTGTTAATGTACAATATATGTCGTGCATCTCACCAAGATAGTAGTCTTGGCATATTTGGAGACAAATCTCGTGATCAATATCAATTGAAAATAATTGCAACATCATATGTAGTTATCAGTTGATTTGTTTGTCTTCTTGAATACAATGGAGACAATTCGAACATACAAGCTTGAAGTTTGTGTGAGACGGAAAATTTTCAATTTATTTTCAGATATGTATCTCAAAGAACCTCACACCAAAGACAGTAGCACTCAAACCTCTTCTGATTTGGGGAGCAATAACACGAATAACTCCCTGGAAGTATCTCCAAGAGTAAACAACATTTTCAATATCGGAAATGGATCGACCAATTCTCTTCCGACACCAAAAATTGGGGGAGGCCCTTCATAGTGAACATGTGATATTTAAACAAGTAATATAACTGCACAAGTATGAATCATACATTTTTTATTATCTTAAATGGTTGTGGAAGAAGTTGTATCCCAGGTAGCACAGGTTAGTGGAATGACGTCATAATGACGTCTTTTCTAGGTCATTATCGGTCAATGACGTCCTCAACTTCAAATAGACCTAAAAATGACGTCATATTTCATGACGTCTTATTGACGTTCAATATTGGACGTCTTAATGACGTCCCTACAAAGTCGTATATTCGACCAAATAAGAAAAGTCAGTCGCTTTCTTACTTCTTTCATCGTTTGTTAATTGTACGTATACTAAATTTGTGTTTGTATATACAGTGTTTTCGTGAGTACTGATGAACAAATTTATTTTCAGCCAAATTATGCAATTTCGAGGAATCTGCTGAAAACGGTCGATTTTCATTCTCAATTTGCCATATATTTATGAGAAAAATTTAATATACATACATGGTGATCCACGTTTGAGTTAAAGACATAACGAAAATTTTTTTAAATAGAGCACCTTATATATATTACTCAATCTTTGGAATAACCATGGGAAGCGGAATTCGAAAATGTTTAACACAATCATGTGGATGGTATAGGTAAGTGCGTCCAATAAATCAGATGCTCCCGTGAAGTAGTTGATAAATTTATCATTATCCAATATCTATCTATCTTATATATTTCTGAGAGAACAGGAGAGGCTCAAACGGATATATATAATTGAATTTTCGTAATCAAATGTATATCACACAAAGGGTTTGTATACAGGTCGTTCGTTACATTCAGTTCTCTCGTAAAATTGGATCGCCATTAAAATATAAAGATGACGTAATTTCTCCTACACGAATCATTCTGTATATATTGATTCAATATGAGATGAAGCTTGAATGAAAATAAAATTCTACAGCTTCGAGCATTATTCTCTGCAAAAAAAAATGTTTTCAATTTTCAACAAATTTATTCGCAACTTCGCAAAAGAACTTAATTCAACGAACGCACTGTATACAAACTCATATATTTTTGAATCCAGCTTTCCATAGAGACTCCAAAAATCGAATAATTTATAGGGTGTTGTTCCTTTGAAAAAATGGTCGCGGACGATGTAACTCAAACTTGAATCACCCTGTATATCCAATTTTTTCTCAATAATGTTGGTAAGTTGAAATAAAAATCGAACTATTTTGGGACATTCCTCAGCAAGGAATTGTATGGTTAAAAGTACATTGATTGGCTACTTTATTTACTTCACGCGAGATGACATATAACGGACACACTGTATACAAACCCTTTGTGTAATATATTTTTGAATTCAGATTTCCATGAATATTTCAGAAATTGAGTGTATCTTCTATAGGTTATTAGTGTTTCCAATTGAAAAAATTGCCGCGGACGTCTTAACTTAAACGGGGATCACCCTGTATATTTATGATTCTTACTTTCAAATGTGGCAAATCGGAAATAAAATCGACCTGTTGCAGAGGATTTCTCAGAAATGGATAGTTTAGCTAAAAATAAGTTTATCCAGCTTACATCTCGCCGACGCTCGCTACATAATTTTAGGTACAAATACGAGTAGCTAACGCTATTGTCATATACAGATTCATAGGTAGAAGCGATAGCGATAGGACTCAACAGGACTGCCCGAGAGGACCATCAACCAAGTTACCACAACGTATAGTTACAAAATGAATGTCATCAAAGGTTTGTGATGTATTATCATGTACCAATAAAACCGTATATATATAAACCTCCAAATTTTTTTATTTCGTCCTTTATTGGTCATTCTGCGACGTCATTATGACGTCTAAGTATGACGTCATATGGCTGTGACATTTTGACGTCATTATAGGGTCTCTCGGACGTCATTTTTGGACGTCCACTTCGTCATTTTATGACCAAAAAATGACGTCAAATGGACGTCACTCTGCTACCTGGGATATATGAATAATAAATTAAGACTGTTCTGGATGAATAATAATCTATAGTAGTTATACTGATGAATGTTTTCCATATTTATTAATAGGATTAAGTAATAAATGTAAGTTGTGATATTTACGGAATTCATACAGGGGTGTTGAAGTAATTGATCTCATAGAATAACTTATATTGCTGGTGAATCTAAGCGCTCAATTTGATTTGAAAAGTACAAGATGATTTGTTTGAAAAATGAAAATGATATGTTCCATTGTTATATTTGTGCTTCAAGTGATGAATAAATACAATGTTTTTATTTGTTTTTCTCTCTCACTCAATATCCTTCAAGACTAAAGACCCTGATTCTGAGAAGCAATCTGTATACAGTCATGCTTGAAGACGAAAAATATTACCTACAAAGCCAAAGAAATCATATAATACTAGCGTATTTTCTTGATGGGGGACAACGATGTCTTAAAATATTCACTCGACTAAAATAATGCATGAATCTTACCTGTCAGGATACATAAGCTCCTTAAAGATTTTCAGAGAGCAGAGCTTATATTTTGAAGATCTTTCTCGTTTGTTTTGCGGGAATTTCAACTTGATGATACGACAAATATAAAATTTGCATTATATGAATCTAGATATCACACTGATTGAAACTATTCAATTGTTTCTCCAACTTCAAATCTCAATACGTACTAAGCTTATTCATGATTGATTGTGTCTCTGCATTTTAAGTTTCATCATAAGAAACAATTGAAAAAGAATATATTTCTTCCATTCGACTATTTCTTCGAGCTGAAACGCGAAGGTAAGTGAGATTTTGCTGATTGTATTATATCAATAATTGTGGAAATTGACAATAATTCTTTCTTGCTCGTGTAATATCTTATGTCCATCATTGAATGACGAAGTTATAAATTCATATTTATTCAACGAATTGTATTTCCGGTCCAATGAGGAATTTGATTTAATTTCCTAATATGTCTTATTTGATCAACCGAAATATGCTTGAGTAGTTGGAATAACGAATTTTTTGCAATTGACTAGGCCGTTAGTCAGTTTATTGTACGAGTATTTCACTTGAAGAAGCTGTTGTGATAACGAAACAATTTTGTGGAAAAATTATCGTTTCTGATTGTGAAGTTTTTGAATTTACGAATCTATTCGCAGAACAATGGCTTGATGAGCTATTGTCCGTCTCAAATTGAATTTATAATAACCGTGAGCTTTATTTCTGTGTTTTTTGATATTTTCGGTTCATCTCAATCCATTACAGGTATCATATAATTCATTCCAGAGGAAAATACTGCGGAGATATGAAATATTCCACTTCTTGCTAAAAGCCCCATCAATTTCAATGACAATTCGCCACCGTAAAAACTGTGAGAAGGATGGATAATGGCAGGAATTGCATTATGCACATAATTCTGGAGATAAAACACCTCAAGTTCTTCTCTTGAGACATATTATGATCCAACAGAGTGGGATAATATCGTCAGGAATATATTTTTATAATTAAAAATCAGCATTTGGAATTATGCTGAAAAGCAAACATTGTCGTTCTCACTGACACAACAATTTAATACGCTGGTTTACTAAAAAAATTCGATAGCTTTTTATATGTAACTTTATCTGACCAGAGATGAGGAGATCTTTTGACTGTTTGAACTTCAAACGGATCGAATACAGGCTGCTCCAATGCACTTTTAGAAACACGGTAAGTACCAAGATAAGAGATTATCTTTTACTATCTGCTGTCTGTATATATAGGTTAATCGAGGAGGTGGTATAGTTTATCCAAAAACAATTTCAGAATCTTGTGCCGCACCTGCAGTCACTTCAAAGGAAACTTCAAACACACCGACGCCGCACAGTACGAGATATTCTGCAATTGATATTGGATGTACTATACATTCATTATTCCAGAATTTTTGTTATTTTCTCTTCTGGTCTCGATAAAATAAAACTATGAATTTTATTTCAATATACGTGTGGTAAGAACAAATCAGATGATTTGCCCCAGAATGTCACTGCGGTTGAAGAATTTTCCTCAAATATCAAGTGCGTAATTTTTTTTGGAACTGAGTGTATGTTCATTTTATAGAGACGAGGAGAGGAAATCTCAAAAAATCTGGAATAATAAAGATTATGTTATATTAGAAACAGGCTTCTATAATTTGACTCGTTTTCGACGACTTATATTACTTGAAGACATTGATCGATATTAGAATGTGATATTTCATCAACTTCAAAAAAAGCTTGAACACAGTGAGGAAGTCCACGGAATGGAAGTTACACATGGTGTAAAGTGGAACCAGTACACAATGGTCTACATTTGCGATGCTGTCGAAACTCAAGGAATTTTTCCCGATTGAATGTCAGTCATATTAAAATACATTGGGACTTCATCTCCGGAAGTTATCGTGATACGTTATTGAAACAAAAATGTTTTCAAAAATCTTGTATTTCATATAATTTTTCTCCAGAACTCTACTCGAACTATATATCTCAATATTACATATTTCCATGTTTTCATCAGGAGGTCGATGGAAGACGATAAAAGCAACATAGAATAATATACAGGGTAAAAGGAAAAAAGGAAAGATGGAGAACATTTCAGTATAGATATCAAAAATGGTGAATGAAACCATGGTCCATTAAATTGATTTACAGAAACGGCCTTGTCGATATCCATTTTTTATAAGAGATTACACATTTGAGATATTTACGAAAATTCACCTCAAATTGAAATACAGGATGAAGTTTCCCAATCCAAACTCCACTTCTCATATCGAAGATTCTTATCAACCTATTCTCAATATTTTTGATGCCCAAGTATATAGATTCTCGTACAAAATACAGAGTTTTTCACTACTTATCCAACAAATGTTAACCTCAAGTACAGTGCTAGGTACATAAGAAGTCGATTACACAAAAAAAAAGAAAATACAACAAGAAACTAGATACAAATTAAAATGTAAGAATAACACTTTCCTTTCTACAATCCCTCGAAGGAAGCGATTTTGTAAAGCAGTCCTTACTTGTGTAGGAGCATTTCGACTATGATAACTAGGACGTGTGTACCTCTGCAGAGATCTCCTCAAAACGTTATACAGCTGCTCTGGAACTGATTCCTTCGATAATCTATCGAACAGCATTTAAAAAATCGTTTCATGTTGGAGTCATTGCCTCATAATGGTTGATTACAATAAATTATTCATATCATTCAAGAATCTTTATGGAGAACTATACTAAACAGAACTCTGAAGGTAAGTATGTTGTCAAAGTGGGGGAACTGTACATTTCGCTCTTATGTACGAGTTTCTCATTACTATTCATGGCATTCAATGAAGGAATATGAGTGCCCTTCGTGTATGATAACGAATAAGGCATTAGTCCTCAATGATCCCCAGGTGTCTAGGGAAGCATTTGTAATGGTTCAACTTCACACCCTGTTCAAGTTTGGTTCTGTGGACTTTGTCACAGTGTCACAGTGTTCTACTTTGAAGTCGATGAGATGTAACATCTGATGAATACAGGTCGTCGAAATAGAGTCGAACTATGAGTGGTTTATTTAGTGTTTTAAAAACGGTAATCGTATATCTCCATTTCAGATGTGAAGTTATCGATTCTGTTTCAATAGTTTCAATTATCCTTCTCCCATATCTTATTCCTCATTATGATTCCTTCGGCTGGATCCCCTAGGTCTGATTCGTTTCTACTTATCACTCATGATTTTTCGTTTCTAAGTTGACAAACTATCTATGTAGGTGTGATTTCCAGAGAGATGGATCGAAAAGTGTCCAATAGTATGAAGATAATGAGCTAGTCACAGCTTGCATTACATAATTTCAATAATAAAGTGCAAAAAGTATAAGTGATCCATCACAGCTCTGATGAAATTCCAGTTTCAGCACTCAAATTTCAATACAGGGTGTCCTAAAATACATATAAATATTCTAACCACAATATTTTTAGGAGAAATATAGTAAAAGAATTTTATATAAACATGGGCACAAAAATGGCTTCCTCTGGGGTGTTAAAGCCATCTGAAGAAGGGTCAGAGATTATGGATTTTCGTAAATATTTTTGGAACCCTCTGTGTGTTAATGGATCAGGTTCCCTATATATAGCTATCAAACAACTGAAAATCGAAGGAAACTCTTTGGAGAAAAGTTGTTCAAAAAATAATATGTTCTTTCAGAATATGAAGAAGAAAATGGTAGCTTTGTGGAAAACATAACTTTTCTAACACTATTTCCGCCAATTTAAAAAAAGTTTGAAAATGTTTGAATAGGAAAAAATATACCTCACACACAGCTATTAAAATTTCCTCTGCCAAATTCGCATTTTTAGTTTTCTTTTATGAGCCAAGGACTGGAAGTTTGCATCACTCTGTATATACATACCAGCAAAGTTTATATACTACTGCTCCTGGAAATAATCCATTGAAAATTCTGATCAGCTTGCAGATGAATCAATATTGTTTTTTACACCTAATGTTCTAGAGATTTATTCATAATTTTTGTTTCAAGCATTCAAGAAATTTCCTTTTTTTTTTCTATCCGACATGATATTGAAGTATGATAAAAATCATGCACCATTGAACTATCGCAATTACCTCGTAGATGATGAACTATATCATAAACAAATCTCAGAGTAAAAAAAACTCGAGTTTCGTCGACCATATTGAACGAACCAGAAAATTGGAGGTTTTACCATCAGTTGGCAACAAAGCTTCGTAAATATCCACTTTTTTATGGGTCACAAACTTTCGGGGAGTTCTTCCGCACTTAGAGGCGAACTTTAACAGCATCGGAGTTCTATGCTGGTAAATAAATATATCAGTACACTTTCAACTTGACAACATCGCGATTGCAGCAATCTGATGAGGAAGTTTCATGATTCAATGGCTGCACTTAGGATAATGAGTTTTACAGGTAGATGTTTATACAGGGTTTTCTTTTCAAAAATATATAAGCTCTGTGATATTCAATTGGAAAACCTTTGATGAATGAGAATGGGAATGAGAGGGAGAATAAAAGGGCCGGCAAATTTATTACCTTCTCATCATGATAAAGGATAACCTTTCAAAATCTAAATTCAACTAGGAGAAGGTATTAGGTACTCGTTTGAAAATAAAAAAATCCTTATATCAAAATTATATACTTACCTACTTGTTTTCATTCATGCAGATGTTGAAGATTTGCTTGGTAGAATCGATGATATTTATATATCAAGATTACATTGGGCCTTTCCAGTATCATAAAATTTGACCCCTTTTCGATTTAATGTTATGGAGGATCAT